ATACCATAGTTTCTTTCGTCTGTTATTTGCCCTTGCTATTCCCATCGATGTCAGTTAGCTCATTGTCTGCTCTGTTCTAACAATTTTTCAAAAAAAAAAATGTTTCAATTATGATGCGGTGCAAAATGCACAATAGCTGCCAATTCACTCGAGCCCATTCACCGAAAACACCACACTGAAGAAAGTGGAAAATGCAAACAAATGCTTTCCCAATTGAATCATGAAAAACCATTCATTCTTTCTGTGTAATGCTCATGCTCGTTTATTGATTTATGTTTTGTATGAATTGTAAATATTATATATAGTAAATTCAAGCATCATAAATGACAATAAAAACACATTCAATTGAGAGTGAGAGATATACATAGAGAGAGAACAATTCGAAAGAAAAGACAAAAAAAAACACACATATACAACATCCAAACAACGAACGACACAATGCCAATCGACAATGGCAAAAGCAATGAGAAAAAGGCAATGGCAAATAGACACGATATAACAGTTAAACGGGCGCAAAAAAAACATGAAACACGCAACACAGTTTTTATGGTTGTGTGTGAGTGAGGACCAAATAATTTGCATCAACCAAATTTATTGAAAATATCAGTGTTCTAAAAACCGTTAGTTAAGTTGTTCCATGTGATTTATAGACACAAGTATCGATGAATGTTATGAGTTTTGAAATCAGTTTTTGGTTGTGTTTTATGCAAAATGTTTGCACGTATACTGTGCAATACACATTCGCTGTATATTTCAGTCTCGCACTCACTTATGCATGGCGGTGGTGGTGGTTTTTTCTCTCTCTCGCTTTACCCATTTCCATTACCACAATAGACTTTGCTAAACGAGTCTCGAACGAAAGTCGATATATTTTCCATTCGATTTGTGCTGCTGATGCGTATCCATATATGCCATTTACCACACTCATATTTACCTAGTTAATATTTATAGCGATCTGTATTTAATGTAAAATTGACTAATGTTTAAGTTATGTCGAGTGTGTGAGTGTTTTTTCTCTCATGTTTTTGTCGCTTCTTTTCACTCTTGATTAAATAATTAGATATGGTGCGCACAAAATATTCGTTTTGTAAATAATCTCATGATAGATTTTGATTGATTGATTGATTTTGAACATACGCACATACACACACACACATTAGAAGTGAAAAGAGACATTTCCAACAACAAATAAATGAGTGAATGCGAGCGCGCGTCTAAAATGAGCAATGGCAATAGAGCGAAGAAAAAAAACTCGATGAAACAACGACGAATGAAAAAAGAAGAAATGAAGTACGAACGAATATAAAGACTAGAAAACAAACGAATGATGATGATTATTATGATGATGGAGTGAGGTGGTATAGAATATGATTGGAAAATAGAAGGATATACTTGAGCCGATTTTTCATGCCGTATCATGATTGTTTCACGTTGCTTTTTTCTCTCTTCTTTTTGTTCGTTTCATGTTTGTATTTCCGAATCCCTTGCGTATGCACATTGGTAAAATGGTAACAGGTAATTTCTGTTTACCGCACATTTTCGTATTTACTTTATCGTATAGCTTTTGTTTACTCTTTTCACTTTGACTATTACAATATACACACAGCTAGAGCTTCGAATGTAATTTATTTGCCGGATCTCACTTCTTTTTTTTTTCTTCTCCTTTACTTGCCCTGTGTTAACAGTGAATTCTCACTCTTTCCAATCACACACACATCGTTATATTCTGCATAATAATATTTATTTACACAAAACCTAATTCAAATCGTCGATTCACACAATAATGCAAGCATTTCTGTCTTTTCTACGAAGCTATTTTGCTATATGAACTTTTTTTTCTTCTTCTTTTTCTACGACTTCTTCTGTTCTTTGCCTTTCAGCGAGAATGCTGTCCGTATTTCTGCACAAATCGCCACCACACACATCGAAATCAACACAACATCGACGTGTGGCAATTGCTTTTGCCTGAAGCTCGCGCAAACAACCTATAAATAATCTTAATATTACCAATTCATGTTGGTATTACCCGAATTATGAAGTACATTACCTTAATGTGCATCGTAATATCGTAAATACCGTCAAATATGTACATATATTTTCTTATTTTCCCGCTTTCTTTCTCTATCGGAATATTTCGTTTTTTCTTCTCTCTTTCTCTCGCTCTCTCTCTCTCTCTGGGGGTCTTTCTATCTCATTCCACTCATTTTATTCTTCGCACATACGTACAAACACACGCCGAATCAACAACATTTATGCTATTGTCGTTTTGCTTTGGTTTTCAGTTCATTGCGAATGCCACCACTGCATACTCTACACCATCATATGATATTGGACTGTACGGTATGGGGCAAAAAGCCCATGTTATAAATATATGGATATCCGATTCTTTTTCTTCATTTTCCCCTTGCTCTCACTCTCATTCTCTCTTTCTCTATTTAGCTCCATTCATTGATTTGCGACCGTGCATTTGCAACATAGAAATCAACGAAAAATCTCATCGAAAATCTCGCCGTTTGTGTATGCGGCCAAATTTTATATAAATATTTATTAAATGTGTAAATAAATAAAAAAAATCACATTTTCATGCGATTTTTGTATACACACACACTCACACTTTGCTCCGTTTGTGTATATGCATAAACCTGCTATTTGGCATATTGCCGTTTCAGTTTGATGTGAAAATTATGTGTGTCTGTTCTCATTTTCTTCTGCTATGAAATATTACGTGTTGTTTTAGACATGTAAAACACATTCGAATTACTATTGCATGGGGGTCACATTTTTCGCGCACGAGCGAAATAATTTTGCCGTTTGCGATATCACATAGAGAGTAGAGGCGGCAAAGCAATAGAACGAATGAGAAAATAGAGAAGGAGAACGAGCGTGTGCGCGCATTCAACCAGCCACAAAACATAAGTGCACATATAAATGTATAGAGAAAAGCGCCTAAGTACTTGTCGTACACACGATATACAACCGGGGTGAACGATTCAAATTCAGAATAATAAATATTACGACCATCAATAAAAATAATAAAAGAAATCTGTCACTCTAGGCGAGGCGCGCACAGCCGCGTCCAAGGAAAATATGGTCGTTGCGCTATCGGTCGCTTATGTTTTTTTTTACAGTTTGTTTTTTTTTGTGTGAGTGTGTTCAACTGACACCGTTCGAATACTACTTTTGTTGCTGCCGGTCTTTTTTTGCACTCTATCTCTTCTGATCGTTCGCTCGTTCTCATCCTATTCGTTATTGCCAGAGCATTTTATGCATTCGCTCACTGAATTGCTGACATATTAATGTACATCTATCGAAATAGCAAACGACAGAAAAATGAGAGGACGTCGATTCTCGTCGGGGCAAAAAAAAAACGATGACAACAACAATACAAACAAAAAATAAAACAAGAAAAAAAAAGAGAATTGTGTATATATGCTGTATCATAAAACAAAACCTCTATACGACTGGGATGGCGTAAAAATATGCGCTTATCACTTCAGCTCGTCTTGTTGAGACAACTAGAAAGAGATGAAAAGGATAATAAACTGCACGGAACACATTCCAAGTGTGTTCATTTGGAATTTTGACAGAGAATTTGACTTTGCCAGTGTGTCATGGTGATAGTGTCGCATGTTGCCATCGCACTGGTCGTCATCGTAGCAGAAGAAAATTGCTAAATATGAGGTGGAAGGTGCTACCAACTTAGAGTTGTCATCATCATCATCATCATCATCATTTGCTCGAACCCGAGAGTGTGATGTGTGCTTAATGTAATATTTGCCCGAGAGTTGATTCACAATAGTGCAACAATATTTCGATTTTGTTGGAAAACACTTCTCACCACTTTGTCTCACACCATCAATGTGACTTACAACATTACAGTCATATAAGTGGAGATTTTGCTAGTGGCAGTTGTTTTTGACATGCAAATAAAGCTTATTTATTTGTCCATTTACTAGTTTTCTTATCAAAATCCAAACAATTCCATATGGACAACGTATTCATGTGCCGTGTGTGCGCGCAAGAGTGAATGAATATGTGTCAAACATATTTTCCGTTTGCATTTCGGGTGTTATCTGGTATGCTCTTTAGCTTGGCTTTAGTTCTGAAAACGAAAAATAAATTAAACCAAATGAATGTCTGGCTATGAGAAAATGTTGCACTGAAAAAGCGTAAAGAACATGCGCAATTTTATTGCCTTAAAAAGCTAGATATTATCGCGTTGTTTTATACAATGGCGTACAAAGAATTGCACGAAGCCAGAAGAAAAGTGGAGGCAAAAAAAAAGATATAAAAAATGAGAGCGTGTATAAAGTATTTTGCGTTTTTTGAAGCCAAATGCTGCATGGAAATTAGTTCTTGCAGTTTTATTGCATTTGGTGTAAAATTTACACTGTAAATTAAAGGCATAAATTTTCATTTAGTACCGAGAGAACAAAACATATTCAAAACAGTATGCAAAACGAAGCACACTTAAACACACACACGCGCTCAATTGTACCGCACATAAAACGCGTGTATATACACAATGTGCTTGAATGTGCGTTATGTTTGATTTTCCATTGAGTTAATAAAGCTCATTTTGATCTAGTTTTGGCATTGTATGGTTATCCATAATTTTTAGATGTTTAGTTTATGTGATGAATACATTGTTTTCGAAATAATGTTCTGATATCCAATTCAGACGTTCATAAAATGTTGTAAAAAAATTTACGTAATTTCAAGTAATCGGCAGAATTTAATCTGAGGAGAAAAAAAAAAACCAAAAATTCACTAAAATTGTGTGTATGGTATGTGTCTGGATTATGGGCGTATGAAATAAGTGTCAAACTGTTTTGTAATTTATGCATGACAATATCTTTTTGCATGCATTAGACTCCGTACTGTGAAATTCTATATATTTTCAACGTTTGACGTATACGTTATTGACAGCTTATTTTCAGTGTAATTGTCAATTACATGTATCTTATGTTTTTGTGTGTTTTTTTCTTCATCTATTTTAGAGAAACGGTGCTGTCAAGATAAGACGAGATTTCGAGAAACCAAAAGGAGATTCCGTGAAGGCGTTCGTTACATAAAAAGAGAAAGAACAAGCAAACGTCGAGACGACTGCAACAACAACAAAATACAACATATTTTCACACAAATATATCACATACACATCAACGCATTATCATGAAGATTTATTTACTTAAGGACATATTTTCGTTATATTTTTTATTATTGAATTGCGGTAAGTGTACCATTACTCTGTCCAATCAAATCGATGCCTTTAAGCATTCAATAAATTCTATCATTCTTCTCTTTTTTGTTTTCACTCTATCATTGGTTTTTTTTTTTTTTTTTTTTGGTTTGTTTGTCGTTTCGTTTTTATATTTATTGAATATCGATGACAAATTTTGTGGGAATGTGCTTAAATGGCATAAAATGTCTACACGCACAGATGCGCACAGATGGTTCATATATTCATCATTGTCACACGACATTTTCAATTGAATCACAGTGTCCATCTCGACACACAGAGGGAAAATAAAAATGGACATATCCAAATTGCTTTTCAACATAAAACTTAATACATACAATATGTACAATTAATTGTGTGCATTTAGACTCGCAACAAGAGAAATACATTCAAATTGTTTCAAAGCCGCTGGGTATTTGATCACTTTGAGCTTCAATTTTATTAATTGCAACTAGTATAAAATTCGAATTGATTTATGAATTTGTTTGATATTAATATGTCTCTGTTCGGTAAGCTACATGAGTGAAAATACATCTCAATTGGTGAATGTTTGATGATGTTTTATTCGCAAAAAAAAAATGTTTTCAATTGTCATAACAATCATTCACCTCTTTCTCATCCTAAACGCATATTCATTTTTTCACACTTTCCGAGTCGATGTGTATAATGAGTAATTAAACATTAGGTGTGATTGAGTCGGATGGCGATTTAATTATGGAACATGCTAAAAGCCAACTCGAAATCCATCACAATGTCTCGCTTCTCATCGCATTAAACGATAAAAATAAATTTTCACGTAAAAAACGGGTCAATTTTTAATGGAATTTCTTTGTATGCCTTCTGAAATTGTTTTTATTGTGATCGAACTGATCGAACTGTCCAAACAGACGGAGAGACGAAGAGTGAAAAAAATAGCATTTATATCTTAAAAAAAATCTATAGCTGCCAACGTTTCGTTTCTTCTCTCTCCCACATTCTATGTCTGTCTCATCACAGCAATAACCGTTCAATTCAATAGCTATAATCATTGTTGTCGTTCATTGAGAATTTATGCGATTAAAAATACACGTGCAAATCACGCAAAGTGCAAAAGAAAAATCAAATGAAAAAAAAAATAAAGATTTAAAGTTCATTTGCCTCAAAATGATGGTCTCATCTCTATTCGCAGCCTATTTGGTTGATAATCGATGTTTTCGTCGTGCGAATTTCGAGAATGAAAGGAGGAGAGAAGAACTCAACAAATTCGATTAATTTACACATTTTAAAAAGAAGGAAAAAACCAATTGTAATATTACTCACTCCAATGCCAATGCGACCATAAATTTCTCTATTGTCAGTTGAAAATTGCAAACGAATCAAGTGAATAGTAGAAAAACGCAATGGCTGAAAAATCGAATCCATTGAAAACCAAACCGAATTTGAATGGAAGAGAAAAAAAAACGAACGCGAATATAATTGAACTGAAAACACATCACATCTAGTCAAATAATAATCAAAGTCATCAATTTTTATGTTGGTGGTTACTTGTTATTTCTCTTCTTTCTTTCTCGTCATTTGAGGTCGATTCTGAGAGTTAACCAAAAATTGTAATTGTTTACGGTCGATTCACATCACATGGTGTGTACGTCAAAAAACAAAGCAGCCGTGGAATTTTTAATTTTTTTTTCTTCACATTCCTCGCATTGTTAATCGATTTTTAATGTAATCGTTAACGAATTTTCATTCAACTTTAAACTTTGTTAGCATGTCGTCGACATTACGAAGGGAATCCGGTTAATTAATCGAAAATTGCTCCCCTTTGATGAACATTGCGACCCATTTGTTTGCCATCCATAGCATATTTGTTCTCAAAAAAATATATATATATACTTTGATCTCAATGTATAACCGAAGCTTCGTATAATGAGTACTTCAAACGCTGTAATACTGTTATTCCTGAACGCAATTAGGCCCATTTTACTGCGTCAAATCGGTGAACATAAGCAACGGTGCATATCGACAAAAAGTTTAATTATGGTTTTTCGTGTGCTTGAGATACACGTATATTTCTAAAATGAAATGGTATCACATTCCGAGATATTGATATTATAAAACCCAAAGGACCCCCCGCATGAAAGATTAATGATGAAGGGAAAAAAATCTGATTGACTCGTTAAATTTTTTGGATGATATAATTGATAAAACATTGAAATACGATTATACATTTTCATCGTAACGAAACTACATTTTCTTTCAAATAATAAACTGGTAAAATCTAAATAAAACGAAGAGAATGACAGACGCTAATATAACGATGAACCGAAAAAAAAACCTATAAACACATACACACCGAAAAAAGTATAAAAAACTTTTAACGATAAAAAAGTTTTCTTTTATCAATTTAAAGTTGAAGACAAAGAGAAAATGAGGAGAATATCTAGAACGTATACGCCAAACAAATGAGAGAGAGGGGGGAGGTAGGAGAAAAAAATGATTATATCGTGACTCAGATATTTTCCATTGTTTTTAAAAGTGTCAAACTTAAAAGTCTACATCGAAGCAATCATTTTCATTTCAATGGAAAATACTCGACTTTTATAATAATATACATGGAGCGGAGAAGGGATTTTTCGTGTTACTCTGGTGACGCTAATTCGGCAGGTTAACGTGCTGCAAAACCTGAAGAATCTCCCATTCTCTCTTACAGACGAATGACCATTAGACTAGAATGATCGATTGTATTGTTCATATGGAAACCGAAAATGTCGCCAAGATACCAAGTGTATTATTGCAATGAGGATTTATCAATGTGAACCCTTCAAAAACGCATCGAAACAGAAATTTTTCTTTGTTCTCTTATTCGTTTCAAGACTAATGTCGAGTTATATCTCCGAATGAAAGAGAAATGAAAAGATGTATCACATTTCCACATTTTGATTAAAACTGTATGAGCTTAAAAAGTATTATTTTTTCGGCTGGGGTTTTCATGTTCTGTATCTCTTTTACTCTTTTATACATTTAAAAGAGCTTATGTGTCCCGAAAGCGATCAATGTTGGCTTAACATATTTAATTGATTTTAAATATTAATTCAATGAATATTGCTTCGGATGTTTGAGTTACAATGCGCCATAACTACATCGGAAATTTTGGTTCCGTTCGTGTGATTCGATTCGACTGCAAAAAAAAAAACACGAGAATAAACAAAATCTCTCTCGATTTATCTGTATTCGTCCATCTTTTCTGTTCCTAAAACCAAATAAACAATTCATCATTGCGAGCTAAATATAGGCCAACGTGTGTATAACATACATATAAATTATCTGCTATTTTCGGTCAACATTTGTTTCTAACTCGTAATGTTGGCACGACTTTACCATATTGTTCCCGATTGTGAAATGCGATTTATTATTGAAACGGGGATAATATTTCGCTTGCAAAACTCAAAATTGGACACTGAGTGCTGAAACTTTTACGCTCAAAATGGAATTTTTGATACTGGTACGGAAGAATCAACGTTAAGCGGAGTTTGTGACTATTATTGCGAAAAGTTGGACGAATTTCAAAATGACAACAACATTTACACACATCGTATTTTCTGAATTATTGTAAAACATCAACAAAACCGAAACAGATTTATGTAGACAGATTTCCATTGATTGATTTTCCAAAGCGTAACTCATTCTCATAACTTATACAACTTCGTCATAAAGTAGCATGTTTTCTAAATGTATCACAATTGACAGGATAAAATTTTGTGCCACCCATTCTCCAGAGTCCAGAATCGATTGCAGTCATTGAATCACCCCTCTCCACTTTCTTCGCCGCCAAAATACGGTTAAGTAATTTGCTGTCAGTACGAATGGTAAATAAACGGGCCGGTCATACAGCTCAATAACTTGTACGGCTACTCCTGTATTCTGAATGCCGAATTCCGAATTCAGATTAGGAAATGAAATCGGCTATAAATTTTTAATATTTGTTGAAATAGGTTTGGCATGGAAAAACAAAGCAAATAATTGCTCGATTGCTAAAGATATGGCCGCATAATTGAATACATAAAATGATCGAAACACGCGCACTGCACATAAAAACCGTAACAACAACAATAACAAATATTCCCATAAAAATAGACTTGAATCTTTTGGTGGTGGAAAACACGAAACGGGAAACTTGATTACACCTCTTTCAACCACCACACTGGTTCAACCCATCAAACATTGAGCGAACGCAACAAAAGTCAAAATATTTAACGACCGATAACAATAAATATTAAAAATAATCTGTAATTGGTTCGGCTATGGAAAAGCGTATAGCTGTCGAGCATTATGGGATTGTATGAGCGCGTGCGGGCGGCAGCAGGTGAATGAGGTGGTATGAGGTTGGAAATGGTTCTAAAACGACTACGATGACGGCGATGACGAAAAGAGTAACTTACAGCTTACGGCTGTTGAAAATGTTTAGTGCATAAATGGCCCATTCGAAAATTGTTTGCTTGTTTATTAAGTCTTGAGGCGAAAAAGGTGAGAAAAAGATTTCTCGTTGAAATAGTCACCTGTCGATTGAAACCCGTCACCGGTTATCCATATAAAACCATATATCTCTCTTTCTTTCGGACATTTACTCAAATTCCCCGGTGTATTTGACGCGCACGTGAGAGAAGAAAAAAAATCAAACGAGTATGCTGTTCAAACACTGAGAACAAGAAAAAATATATATATTATAATAATAATAATAATTGAGTGGCGAAGAGAATGAAATAGAGTTTGAGTAGATGCGTGCGCGCTTGCTACACATACGTTTCGAAGTAAATTTAAGTTCATAATATAAAAGTTTAAGCGCGCGCACTCTTTCAGTTTACATTTATTTGGCGCTCGTTTTGAATCACCTGAATAAATTGTGCATATCCACGCAAATAATCAATTATACATAAGCAATGGGCTCCAGCCTGGACTTTGGTGACGACAACGTTAACGGATTTCAAATCAAAAAGGTACAAAAACATACAAAAACC